GGGTGGCATTTTTCACATTCCAGTTGTTCCTGAGGGAGTCTTCGGCACTGCTCTCATCTCCATGGTGTAAAGATGCGATGCTAAGACCTTGGGGCTCAGTGTCCCATGGAAAATGCTTGCTGCCTTCATGCTCTGTGGGCACAACCTCCTCCTCCTCTTGTGTATCCATTAACAACCCCAGAGGCTCAACTCTCTGTGGCGGAACCTGCTGGAGATTCTCATGCTAAGGCTACATGGTCTAAAAATCTCTCAGCGTCTCTACCGGCTGGCCCCAAACCACGGCGTGGGAATGTTAGGAGAGCATCCTCCTGTCTGCCGTTTTACTAAAGGCACAGAGACATTGACATGTCTCCAGACCCTTTAGGATTCAGAAATCGATTTGTGATCATTCATTAAACTGACTGAAGACAGCGACACAAGAGTGCTCAGAAAAGATATAGTGTAAGAAATCCTTGCTGCTGGCTGCAGCGACGTGATGAGCCATTTTCAGACATGACCTGCGGATAAAATCTGGAGAATCTGATTCCCATATACACCTCTGGAGAAAATATGGAAGAACTGCGGTGTACTAAATTTTCGTACAACTTTCCATTATGCAGTTTATTATATACCAGTGAATCTGAAGGGGACCTTGCAGCATTTTTCTGCTTTTGTCCAAGACGTGTTCAACCCATGCTGCGCTATGGATCTTGCTTAAGCTTAAGGATTTCAGAAAAGGATACCAGATATTTGTTTCCCTTACAGCGATAAGACCATTAGCAAACATTTCTCAGTGTGTTGTGGATGCTGCTGCACTCCAACTACTCCTCCTGACTCCATCTAAAGATTTCAGGTTCCATTTGGTTTATGTCTACCTTCCACCAGGGACCTGCCCGGGCTGTTTACGTGACTCTGTCAGGACAAATGCGCTGCAGCCAGCTGCCGATGTTCCACAGGAAAGAAACTCTTGAGTCTAACTACGCAGATTAATCCATGGATTCTCAATGCCTTAGTGACGAGGGGTAACATTTCTGCTAAACAACTGTTCTTTCATAGCCAGCTCATATTCAAAAAGGCCTTTGTAGCATTTCTAAGTTAAAAACTTGACATCACACTGTTTTCATGCAGCAAGTGACCACTATGTTCCTTCTTGCAGTACATTGCTTAATGCGCTTTTCCGAACGTAAGGTCACGGTTGTTTCGGTAACGTGTTAACGGAGGTGACGCAGAGCACGCAGTTTGCTCTCATGCACGACTGAGTATGAGCGACGGGTACAAACCTACATCTGCCTGCCTGCTGAGAACTGCACGCCCCTCTTGGGAACGCACACAGCTACATGGGAAACTGTCTGGCTCTCGCTGCCTGAAGGATGGTCAAATGTTTTTAATGTTATGTTTTGACAACCTACAGACGTGTTGAAATTCCTCCTGGTGCTGCTGAGAGAGAGAGAGAGAGAGAGAGAAAAACAAAGAGTGTGGCAGAACACTTGTGAAGCAATGGCACTAAAAGAGTTGGAGACAATATATGTTAGAGTTTCATGATGAAACCCGGGCAGGACAAATTAGACTATGGAGGGAAGCCAAATTCAAAGTAATTAATGGGAAGAAGTCAGATTAGATGGTCAAAGGTCAAGGTCACGTCACAAAACACATTCTGGGCTATAATTCAAGAATTTATGTGCTAATTATGACATTTTCAGACAAATGTCTAATTTGCTAAAAAAGGGATAAATAGCAGTGGCATTTCCAAAATGTCAAAGGTCAACTTGACAATATCTTATGTGCACAAACCCCTTTCTGGTCATTATTTAAGACCATGGCTCTTGTAATAAATGGGAATATTGTATTATAGTGGCCATATATCCTGGCTGTGAAATGAACCAGTGCCATGTAATTGTAATTTGAACTGATCCTATAAATGCAACTGCGATAGACAATTTATTAAAAAGAGAGTGGCTTAAAAGCCAGTCAAGAAATTAGCTCCATTCTCTTTTTGATAATATGACTCAGTGAAAGAGTTTTGCCGCTCCAGTGTCTCCTCTGTGTCTCCAGTCAACCTTGCTTTATCAGTTCAGTAGGTGTGTGTGTGTGTGTGTGTGTGTGTGTGTGCGTGTGTTTGTGTTTGGTTTCCCTTTATTTTTTGATGGTGCCCCTCTGGTCTCACGCTCATGCACACTCACTCACCATTACTTTGTCACCTGCTCCATCAGTGACTCATGTGTCCCCTGTGGTCGATGCTGTGTTGAGTACAGGGGTGGATGTTTGAGAGCGATTTGTTCAGCTATGTTAAAAGCAGATATTGTTGCCTGGATTTCGATCGTCCCTCCTTCTTATATACTCTCCTCTCTCTCTCTCTCTCTCTCTCTGCCCCCACCCCACCCTCTCTCTCTCATCCTCTTGATCTCTTGCTCTGTGGTTCTCTTTCCCTGCCTCGCAGACTGCTCTTTGGTATGAGAAGTGTTGTTATTGTTGTTCTATGAATAAGAGATATGTGGCCTCAGGCACTTAGAATGCCACTGACTCCACCTTGCTTCACTGTAAATACTGTTGAAGAACGGGCTGTATATATGCATGTAAATGTACACACACTAAAATAGGCCAGCTGAAAGACTCTAATAAGCAGTTTGCTTACATCCACTTTGAAAGTTGGCATTTGGCTGTTGATGCAGCAGTGAACTAAATTATGATTTATTACTTTATAATGCAGCACTTTCTCAAATGACTCAAAGTACAGTTGAAGTGAGCAGTAATTATACTTTCTGCGTCTTACAATTGATCATCCCCGTGTGAATCTTTCAATACGGTGTTTTTCAATGTCAGCGGATCAAACTTAATCAATTCACTCATTTGTCGTCCGTCGTTTTCCACGCATCAAGTAAAACTGATGTAGAGGAAGTCCTTCTTCCACATTCTCATTCAGTTCAGTTCATCAATTAATAGATGATTATGCCATTTCTTGGCTCGCACTGAAAGCTATGTGCCCGGATGCCAAATAGAAATAAATCGCCTTTGTTTTTGTGGCTGAGCAGTCAATTAAAACGTTGCCCCTTGGCTCAGTCCAGGCATCCCAAAAGTGAAATATGAATTCCTCGGCCAAACAATGATAATTTTCATTAGCCAGAGTTTTCACTTCTTGACAGAATTTAGCTGTTGGCTGTGTTTTTAGGCCTCCATAGTCAGGGTTTACAGCTCTAATCTACATATCTGTCTCACAGTATCTGGCTCTCCCTTCCAATTTCTCTCACTGCTGATCACAACACACATCCTGACGCATCCTCGAATAAACTCTGCGCACACAAATGTAGAACTTCAAAAGATTTACGCTGGGAGAAAATAAATCTGGATTTTATTTGGGTGTGACGCGCGAGTGCAGTCCAGTTGAAATGGTTTGATATAAATATACACACATTCTCTGCTCCTCATTTTGGAAAGCTCAATCCCTCTGTTCCTTTTAAATTATACAAAGCATTATTTATAAGCGTGTGAGGCACTTATTCCTCCCGTCTCTGTTGCTTTTTCCCCTCCCCTGAAGGCAACGATAGCCACCCTCTGTTATTCACTGTGTTCTTTTCTGTGTCGTTCACATTTCCCATCTTCGTATCCCCCTTTCTCCTTGTCGGCTGCATGCTCTCTCCCACGCCTGTAGTTTATTTGGCAACCCTCGCTTGGGGGCATATGGAATCTAATTTCGCCAGTAATCAAGGGCTCGGATAGGTGTGTGTGTGTGTTGTGTGTGTGTGTGTGTTCCCGTTTGTGTGTGGCTTTTTATATTGGTATTAAGGTAAAATGGGCTCAGATTTACCCAGACCTTATAGACTCGGAGGAAAACAAAATCATAAAAGAAGGAAATTATGTTTTCTGGAAACATCACTCTCATTTTTCTTTTAGTTTTAGCCTCCAATTCCGAGTCTTGTCTTGTTGCTAACATCCATCTGTATTTACCACCCCTTATGTGTCATGTAATGTTGTGTTAGTCTGTTTGATTCATACACTCCTGCAGTTAAATCTCGTTGGACTCAATATATGGCATCAATATACCAGGAAACATTTATTAAACTCTTCTGTGTCTCACTGTGACAGTTTTTATAAAATATGTTGAACTTCGGAGCCTATGAAACATTTAGTAAAAGTATTTTATTGCTTGCATGATATCGCATTGTACATCATGTTTTCCAGTTTCAAAGACAACAGGAAATTAATCCATGCTTCAAATAAAATTTAATTTTGAAGCTAGCTAGTCACCAGTTCTAGTTACATTGAAGAACAAGATCAGATGTGCTTCATGTGCCGCGTACAGTTTGTCACCGCAAAGAGCATACTGGGAAATAAAGCAAGTTGGCAGCCTGATGCTTATAGCTTCACTGTTTTATCCTGTCGTCTCTGTAGAGTCGATTTTGGCAGGCGAGGTAAAGCAGAGCAGTCGGAGGTGACACAAAATAAATATCTGCAGATGTTGAAAGTTGAAAATTAAGTTACTTTTATGAATTCCAAGTTTCCTGCTACACAAGCTAAAAGTGAAAGTTGGCAATAATTTTGATTTGAGTCAAATGCCATGAGGGAAGCTAATAACTGACCTCGTCAAGTCACTTGCAAACTTTGTCTGATGAAGGTGGCAGCATCTGGATTTAATACTTCTAATCTACACACACACACACACACACACACACACACACACACACACACACACACACACAGACACACACACACACACACCCTTTAAGTGCTCAAAAGTGCGGCTGTGCTTTACCGATCTATGATATTAGACCAAACCGTGTCTTTTCTTGTTAAGGGGTAATCAGTACCACTCTCACACTAACCCATCTTACTTCATCTAATGATGGTTTAGACATAATTTGACTTCAAGACGAGTCACTATTATTATATTCCTTTAGAAGTTAGCTTTTATTTTAATTAGAGTTTGGACAAGAAGATTGTATTTTAAGCCCACGCAAGATCTCACAAGCAAAACTGTACAACTAATGGATGTCTGATATTTGTCTGTCTCTCTCTTTTTGTCTCAGGGAGACTATGATCCTGTCAAAACCAGAGTTCTTCACCTCAAAATGAACCCCACTGCTGTTGCCAAGCAACAACGTCAGCAGGAAGTGGAGGCTCTTCAGGAGGAAGTGACACGCCTCAGGGAACTTGTGCGCTCGCTGCAGGATGGAGGTGCCATGGCCCATTCTCAAGACGACTCCGGTTTGCACGGCACCAGCATCAACCTCAGTTTACCGCCATCGAAGGAGGTGCTGGGTAAGAGTTACCGCCCACATGGCATGTTCCGTCACACTAAACTGGTACATTTAACCTGTAATAGCTTCATGATAAATGAAGCAGGGTTGGGAGGTAGCATTGGCTTTTCCATTGTCCATCACATTTATATTACTGTTACATTTCTTATTAATGGAGCTGAACAAAGGTGCTGCGGCTGATTTTAACTGCAGAGCAGATATTACAGGAGAGACTAGAATGGCACTCAGTAGAGCGCGTACCTCCGCCCAGGCCCAACGGCCCCTGAAATTCAATCAAGCTGCGGCAAATGGCGCAGAATCTTAGATATCAGTTGCGTAAATGTGCCTCTTAAATTCATTATTTCCTGGTAATTGATGAAAATTTTAACAAATGCACTCATCCCACTGTCTCGAAGTTAAGGAAGAGTTCAGGAGTTTTTTTTTTTGCGTAATCCTGTTGACAAATAAACAAAAACACATTCAGGGGTGAAAACATAATCTCAACCAACACAAAGTGTAATAATGAAGGAAACACGCACATGAACAAGCTAAATTTGAGCTGCAATGAGCTACAGCTTCAGTTTCCACAGAGTTTCGTGCTGTTTAAAAATATTTGATAAAATATCTCACATTGTGTCTGTGAGCTACCACAGCTGTTCATGTGATGATTTTTCTGCTTTTTAAAATGTATTTAACTGCATGTTTTTACCTACTCCCTCTGGTGGCTGGGTTCCCAAATTCAGAAAATAGCTTCATTGGTATTTAAGGCCACGAGGTCTTTCACCTCTTAGATGTGATTATATGACAGACAGTTAGAGGGAGGACGTGTCCCTATTACAGGGTTAAATATTTAATTGGAGTTCAGGGCAGTTCAGTGCTGGGAATCTGTTGGCTAATTTGTCTTCTGAGGACCACAGTGCACGCTCTCTTCCTCTGTCTCAGTCTGACTCATTCACTCTCTCTCTCTAACTAGTCTCTCTCATGTCTTCCACCTCCCATCCTTCATTTTCAATTTCTCTCTTCCTTTCACTCTTGTCTTCTCGCTGTCATTTTACCCAGCCTTTAAAGTTTGCCTGTGTGCTCCTGATCCTTCTTTCTGATTTTCAGGTGAAATGATTATCTTTCTTTCCACTGTGCTCAATTTAAGCTCCAGCAGATAATGCAGACTTTTGAATATTATCACTTCTGGAAAAGAAGAGCTCAATGAACGGAATGAAATAGTCACTGCCTCAGTGCCTCACAGGGGATTGTGGGTTATTGAGTCTTGGAACATTATGTTACAATTCACACACTTGTACGATTTCTCCTTGGTTTATAAGGAGATTTTAAAACTCTAAAAAACATTTGAGATATTCTTGTTTTTTCTGAGTTCAAATGTTAAGACCAATACAACTGCAATTCAATTATAGTGAAGTGACAGGAATTACTCGTTGATATAGTTTAATTTTGCACCAGAATAAAAATCCTTCCATTATATATTATTTTAAATGAAATGAATCCAGTGGATTTAAGCCTCTGTTATTAAGTCTCATTCCAAGTTTTACACATGACTGCATTTTGCGAATTAAGTTAAGTTGTCTGCTCCTTCTTGGAAGCATCCTGAGGCTTCCTCTGCAGTTACAAGTGAAACATTACTGAACGTTTTGAGGTTGAGCATTCAATTCACCTGTCTCCCTGCTCTAGGGCTTCATTTCATTTCTGTAAAACATTTTGTCAGTATTCATGATGAAGCCAGGAAGTAAACCTTATCACTCACAGAATAATCTTCCCAGATTATTCTCCACCCCTACTTTCAGTTCTATAACCCATCTCTCTTTTCATCTTCATGCTAAGAGATATTTTTTCCAGACGTGAAAATGCTTTACCTGTTCATTGAAGTTCTTATTACCAGTTGTGACCTTGTGGCTGGTATTGTTTTCACCTTGTGTGTCTGTGCGTGTATCATCATGGAGAAACGTTCTCCTGGATCTTCTCTAGAGGGAAATATCATAGAGGCAGTTTACGTTGTACTTTGGCAGGTTTATACATCAGGACAGATTTTGCCACAGCGATAGCGTCACGGCTATTCAAGATGCAGTCATAAATTGTGTAGGGTTGTAGTTGATAACAAAATGAAGACAGGATGTGAAAATGGTTGTGGTCTCACCCAAGCAGTAATGATGACTCAGAACCCAAGTTGAGATTAATGATATTTAATTTATTTTAAAATTTTACAAAAAGTGCTTTGTTGATATTTTTCTCATGTAGAAAATTGTCCTTTCTCTCTTAAGATCATCAAAATCTAAAATATGGTTATTTTATTTCTGGGATCTCAGCCTCTAGTTTTGGAACCACTTAGTTCATACAAATACAGACTTGAGGATCTTTTCCAATTGCACAGAGAAAAGGCAAAAAATCTAAAAATAAGCAGCTCCCTCAGCAGTGGACTGTTCTTGACAGCTTTCAAGAGACAGTGCTCAGACCCGTAGAGACCAATTAAGGGCAAAAGTCAGAAGTCGCTGACTTTTTTCAAAACTTGACAGTGGTTTAAAGTCTTCTAACCCTGTACTTTGATTTAGCAGAGCAGCACACACATTAGCATAGATGGACAGGTTCTTGTTGGTGATTGTAAAGGCAAAAACGCTCCTTGGCCCTTTTGTTCATGCTGTCACACGAGAATTAACAGCCTCTATCAGGGCAGCTTGATAGCTGTCATCAAGTGACAGTTTTGTCACAATTCCGAAGTCTTGAAACAGTATTTATCATCACTGACTGACACTCCAGAGGAGCCTGGTTACCCAGGAGACAGACTGGCTCACAGACAGATGCCCTGACAGACTTTCTAGCTATCTATTTGTTTCATATTGACAGACAAAAATGTAATAGGCTAGGAAGTATGAAAAGAAGAGGGATGTTTTTCAAATAATTATCAATCATAGCAGGGCTAGAAGAAGCCTGTCCGCTGAAAATGCAGCACCAAATGTCACAATTAACGGCTGTGGCAGGTAAATGAAAGGTGTGTGTTTGTGTAATGGAGAAGTGACTGGTTTAAGTATAGTTTTTACCAAACTAGAGACACATTCCAGCCATTGAATGACTTTTAATCAATGTTAAAAGCTTTTAGTCAGCCTGATATCAGCCTGTGTCAAACAGTTTTCCTAAAAATGACATGATGGGGAAATAGCCACATTTACTGTGATTTACATGCAGAAACAACATTGTGGACAATTGTTGATTTAGAAAACAGCATATCTCACTTCACACCATGATACTCACTGCTTACCCACACCTTAGACTAAATCTGTCCACCTCCATTATTCTGTAGACCTTTTGGAAAGGGTGGTGTTAAAAGCCTCCAAACTAAGCACCAGTATTTTGGCTGAATACCCTGAAATGGCAAACAAGTGGGTTTATTTGATGACTGCCATTTCTGGAAAAATTGGGTTTGGAATGTTTTCTGGAGATTGCCTTTAGAATATGAAGAAAGCAGGAGATTGTTCTGGTCAGAGACAGGAAAATGTCTGGAACATGTAGACGTGCTTTAAAAAACAAAACTGAGCACAAAGGAAAACAATTAAAAACAATTGAGAGATCATAAAATGAAAGAATTACTTTGTTTAATCCAAGATTTTATGAACACTCACAGTGTGAACAGTTGCATTATGGAATCATTTGCCATTTTGCAGTCGTTTTGTTCTCCTTCACTTCACCTTCTCCGAGGTTACATTATGTTCATGCACAGTTGCACAGGCATGTGTTACCCTTTTTAACGCTTGCTGAAGTGATAACATTGTAAATAATTCCCTCCATAATGACTATTTTTTTCTCCGACAAACTCATTTCCCTGCCTCCTCAAAATCAGGTCTTCAAATTAAAGTAATTATCACAAATTGATTTTCAACAAATTGAAGTCAAGCCCCATCCTGGTTCTCTCTGCTCCCAGCTAGAATCCGTGGCTGACAGCTTTAGTCACCACTACACTCTGAGCATTATGTTGTTTTGTAGACCCTGAGTGAGCAGATGGAGTGCTGCAGGGAGTGGATATTTGATATGGAGTCGACCATCCCTGCTGAATGTGCTCAGAGGGATGAACATGTACTTGAAGAGCTCCACAGAGAGCTCTTGCACATGTAGCAGAATCTTGCACAAAATACGTATTTACACAAATGTACGTTAACATTAAGAGTGATGTTGTACAAATAAAACAAACCGAACATTCACATTCGGGACCAGTGTGTGAACATCTAACTGATGCTTTCGTCCAACCTCTGTTTGTGTGGCAGATTTACGTAAGCAGATGGAGAGCTCGGAGCTCAGGAACCAGAGGCTGAAGGAGGTGTTTCAGAGAAAAATCCAGGAGTTCCGCACGGTCTGCTACGTCCTGACCGGCTATCAGATCGATATCACCACTGAGAACCAATACAGACTCACCTCGGTGTATTCAGAGCACATGGACGACTCCCTGCTCTTCAAAAAGGTGTGTATACTTTAAATGATTGACACAAATACACTGTATTTGATGGAATTATATTATAACTTGTGTTTAAAGACGTGCAAGGAAGACATACTGTAGTGCATTATCAAATCTAATTAAAGATTAGACACCCCCCCCCCCTAGTGTTATGGGTTGAAACTCTTCATGTTGTACCTGAAGGTAGAAGCACAAACTCGCTCTCCAGGGGCTGGTCAGTAAAGTCCAATATGGCCTGGACCTTCCTCAAGACAAGTCGGTCACATACACACAGTGTCAATGAAAACACAAGCTGTCCAGGCTCCTGGAATGAATTCACTATGTTTCTTACTTTACATTCACCTCAACCTCCATACTCGCTGGGATCAGGTTGCAGGTATACAGTGTGTATTTCTGTAAACACTGTAAACTTCAGAGCTCCTACAGGCTGCAGCATCCATGTGAGTGCTTCCTCGAGCTCTCACACAAATGCTTCAGGAAATGCAAATTTGACCTTGCAGGGTTTTTTGTTTTTTTTTAAACTGAAACCCTCCCACTATCATGTTTATGCACCGTTACGCAACGTTATAGTTCTGTGCTCATGCAGTGAGAAGAACACTGTGCCGACGGAGACTATTCCCCGCTGTGTGTATTGAATGTGTGAAGAAATGGCTGTTGTGTGTGCGTGCGTGCGCGTGCGTGCGTGCGTGCGTGTGTGTGCGTGCGCGTGCGTGCGTGCGTGTGTTCGTGAGAGAGGAAGAGAGTGATGACTGGGCAATGTCATGAGGTTGGGCTGCATTAATCGATCACCACTCCCTATACACTCATTTAATGGGCTAAATAAAAGCTGTATTTCTGTCCCATAGCTGTTGAGCAAATCCTTTTCTTAAGTAGCTTTACAGTGAAAACATCCTGTTGTGCTCCCTCTGCACTTACCTCTTTTTCCTCTTTCTTTTCCTTTCTCTTTTCTCCATCCCGTTCCGCTACACTTTCTCTCCCTTTATCTGCTTCATGTTATCTATTTCTCCCCTGTCTGCAATGTGAGCTGATCACCATGTTGTTGCTGTGTTGTTGTTAGAATAGGGGGCTTTGGGCAAGAAAATGAAAGCATGGTGAATTTATGATGGCAAGGTAAAAGGCACCTTTAGGGAAGGCTAACTATTGTATTCAAGCGGTAGACAACTGCAACTAGTTTTGGCCTTGCTCAGGGACTCTCTTGAATGCAGGCGGAATAAGGAATAACTCGAGATAAAGCAACGTGCATGTGTGCCCGCATGTATTTTTCTCTCTCGCTGGTGTGTCCAATCTGCTCCATCGAACCCACTGCTATCCTGCCAGAAGAGATAATTCACTGTCAATATTTATTAACCTCAGACTGCGTCCATGCAACACACACACGCACACAGTCGTAATACCCTCACAGTGTGCATAACTGCACACATACTCCAATCTTAACACTCTCCGTCACACCACAGTTCACCACACAGCACCTCCCACCCCTCACCCCCTACTCCGTCGGGTGCACATGCATACAGATGTACAAAGACACACACACACATTTGCGCACAACAAAGATACTAAGACCTCCGGTATTAGTATTCAGGGTGTTCTCCACTGTCTGAGTGTGTATGACACACACGCCTGGTGGCCTATGGGAGCAGGGAGGCCTGTACTACTAATAGAATATGACAGTTACCCCGTGAACAAGCACACACACGTATACAGAACTACCACACTTAAGAGAAACACGTGAACATGCATACAATACACGTAACATGCTCTCTGGGCATGTGTGTGAGTGTAATCTGGGTTATGAAAATATAAAGTGGTCTAATTGTAGGATGAGGCAGGAGTAAGTGGAGAGAAAATGAGGGATTGTGGACAGGAAGCATAGACGTCTTTACAAATAGGATTCTAATGTTATTCACCTCAGCAACAGGGTTGCCAGATAATCCTGCTAATATCCCCCTCTAGCAGAGGCACCGAAATCCCCCTCCCACGGTGTAAGCTGTTTAACCTGCAGCTCTCATATTCCCTCTCTCTCTTTTTTCCTCATGCATTCATTATGTTGAGCTGTCCTTCACATGATTTCTTCATCCTGTATTCACACTCACTTTTCAACATGTCTTTAATTTGGTGATTTCAGTGTTAAATTATCAGATGTAGATATTTTTGTCATCCAGTTGTGTGTACTGTATGTAATACATCTGTAATGGAAGTTGACACTCAAAATCAACCATCACACAAGCTTAATACATATTGTATTTTGGTAGTGAAGCGTTGTTTGGCACAGAAAAGCTTCTTCACTTTGAGTCCTCATTATCACGACAGTAAATATATGGATAGCTGTTGCTCATTTTGTGCAGGAGTGCTTCATGATGTTAGTAAGCTGTCAATAAACTAGTCCAGCATTGGCCCAGAGTGACATATTGTAACATAAATGGTCCTCAGTGGATGATTCTCCACATTTAGTGAATTTAACCTGCTGTAAAAAAGCACAGCACTTTTCAGCATTATCACACAACACAAAGACAACCAAACAAATCCCACTGATATAGTTGTGACATAATCCTCTGACACAAATGACAGAATTCCTACAGTTGTACTTTGTGTATAAATGTTTCTATGCATCTAAATGATCCTATGAAGAATGTATAGACTGTTAGTCTTTATTGCTGCATAAAGTTTGACTTCGGGTTAATGGAGACACACACCTCCGCATCATTTATCATTAAAAACATAGCTTTTTTTTTTACACTTTAAAGTCAAAAGATATCTTGTTAAATTGGCAGTGCCACACTGCTGTTTTTGATCAGTTTCCTAGAAGCGAGTCAGAGGCTCAAATGTGTGTTTCTGTGAACAGCCAATCTTTGAGTAGTGGGAGATCAAAAGTTGTGAGTGTCAGTCGACTCTAACTGTGAGGTTCTTTTTATAGAATCGCAAACAAGAACCAGTGCAGTGCAAAAGCTTCATAGTCATAGCTAGTCTATGTGGAGAAATGGTGTTTCTCAATTAATAATGGATTAATGCAATGTTATGTTAAAAAGGGTGGGAGAAGGCTGCCAGAATAATTTTTATAGAGGGAAACACGGAAAGTGTTTGTGGTAAGCTGAAGCCAAGCATGTGTGTAATTTATATTTTTAGCTCACCCCTAGGTGAGCAGGCTGATTAGCATCAGTGATTAGGTATTTATGAGTCTCTGCTAATCAGCGAGATAAACACCTTCACTGTTATTCGAACATTTTTCTTCCAGAAGTTTTCGGAGAGAGGGAGGCGCAGCTTGTATTTGGAAGTATGAACATTTTCTCATTTAAAGATTCAGATAAACATAAAGTCCAAAAATTCAGACTGACAGTATAGAGACGTTGTTTACCGTGTTTTTAATGCACACCGATTTGTTTGCCACAAATCAAGAAATAACGTTTTGTTTATTTTATCTTTAAATTTCATCTAAGGTTTTAGAAAAGTGATATTTTTAAGTGTGTGTCTTTAAACTTCAGTTGAGAAAGTTTAGTTTAGTCGAACCTATTGAAAAACAAGAGGAATATTGTAGACAAACAAGTGTTACGAGTTGTGTGGGTCTGTAAGTAGAAGCAGATCCACCGCTGGGTTTACACACCTCTAGTATTGATTAGCTCATTAACAAATAAACAAACACAGGCACAGAGCTCTGCTCTCCCCAGAAGTCACTAAAAGCTAAGATGGTCCTGATTGAGTCACATCTCCTCTTTTTCTTTCTTTCCTTCCATCCTTCCCTTCCCTCTACTTTACTCTTCCTCCACTTTCTTGACACTGGTACCCTGTCTTCCTTTTCCTAATGATGGGAGAAGATAGTCTCAGGGCCAGCTCATTAAAATATACTCACAATTAGCTGTCAATGCTCTCACCAGGGAGAGATGGAGAGAATGTATAAAGAAATGGTGGGAGGGTAGCTAACACGTGGACAGAGCTGACAGAACGTTTAAAAAATGGCAGCAAGGAAGTTGTGCCTTCAGAAAAAGCAAAATCATTTGTTTCTGTGTGTGAGATTGGGCGGGGGAGAAGGGCAGTTAATTGAGTACAGTATATGAACACTGCCAATATAAATGACCTGTCTCAGTTTCATCAGCCACTTGGGAATGATTAACGCCACACAAATGTGTGTTTGCTTGTGAGCATGTGTGTATGTGTAAGACAGATTGTAAGCCATTACTGCTTGAATTGTTTAGTTGTATGTCTGCTGCAGCTTCATTTTAAAATAACTCTGAAGCACAACTCATCCGCTGGTGGCTACAGAGCCAATAAAACTTGAGCCATTGTAGCAGTCAGGAGCCGGGCCAGTGGCCAGAAAGGTATCTGGTGCCACTTTTTCTCACCCTGATAAGCCTGTTATCTTTGCCTCTCTCTTTTTGCAACCAATCAGATCTGAAGTCATTAGAGTGTTGACAGTGGTATTTGTAGCAGCCAGTTTGGCAGCCACTTAAAACGATAAGGACTGATAAAGGTGTTGCATTTTCTTGTTTAACCTTTTTTAATTGATTTTTAAGTAAAGTGGAATGGGAGCTTGTTTTATTGAGAATGGCAGTTACAGCACATTCATTGTCCACAACAACACTACTAACAGCACTCAGTAAGGTGTGAAAATATCAATACAGCTGATTCTTAAGACGAGGACTGTTAGAGAACCTTCCTGTTTATCATCTGGACCGTGGCAGCATTTAGCTTCTTTTATCAAATGACTCCCATAGTAATTATATTGACAAAACAACTGCTCTCCTGTATAACCCATATTCCAAATAGTAGCAGCAGGTGCAGTGACATCAACAAAGCAAAACCTGCAAATAAAAACATACAATCAACCCAAAGATTATATTGTATAAGCCTATACTCAGGTGCCAAGATAAGTGAAGGGAATTACAATAGTCCAGCTAGGAAGACACAAGTACCAATAATAATCTCCAGCTCAAGTTGTGGCAGAACAGATTTGCTGTAATGATACCAATGGTAAGCAAATTTCAAGCAAATAAGAGAGGACCCAAGACAGAGCC